TGTGTGTGTGTGTCAGAATTTTACTTGTGGTGATATTGCCCAAGTTGGCAAGCACCGATTTCGGAGTAGATCAAGGAAGAATACTACTCACTCTCATACACCAGAAGATATATTTGTCCGGCACTGCAGGTATCCGGAAAACACAAGCCCCATTGCACATTGAGGCTGGCTGCAGGGTTGATCGGTTGCTAGGGTGAAAAACAACAAAGTTATCCATTATATTAAATTATACGAAACTCGAAGGAAGACAAACTGAGTAACTACAACGAAGGCCAACCAGTTTCAAAATTTGTTAATAAAAATCATATTATTTGTACACCAAGACTTGTTTCTTGTTTTTACACTAATATGAGGGTCGTTCTTTTTATAATAAAAACAAGAAAGCCCCCTGAACCGAAAGTCAGACTTGCAATTTCTAATAATGTGTGAAGTGTCTTTTCTTTGTACAATTTTTAACTTTCCGGATGATAAAATGTTTTAGGCATAAACATAAAGAACATAGAAATATCACGAAATTTGTTTATGCACACGAATTAATTAGTGTGGTTTTTTTTTTTCTCAAAACGAATAGACATAAGAAATCAATACAAGTTTGAACTGTAGAAAGGACAAGAAAATGTCATATTTAAACCCAAAGGTAAACCAAAGACCGATATTCTGTGGGAGGAAAAAGCGGCGTTTTCATTTACATATTGGGGGAAATCAGAAGCTCAACATTTATAGTGTTCATCTGTCAAACCGGAGGTCCAGAGTTCGATCCCCGCTAGCATCGGCCTTTATTACCAATTTTTCTAAAACCTCTGAACATTACATGGTGCAGTATGTAGGATCGGGCACCCAGTCTTCTCAGCTTAGGATGGACAGTTTTAAAGGTTCCTGGGTTCCTAAAATTGAACAAAGCAGGCCCTTCGGATTACCATCAGGGCAAAACTCAAAACGGATTCCCACCCAAAATTGAAGCCTCTCTACGCCAAGAGGGTGCCTGACAAGCAAGGTAAAGCATTACGCTTTATAGAATTAAAATATCTCTGCAATAGTGTAGGCCTACGTATAAAATTGCATTATGAGATGAAAACCTTATAGTCAATTAAGTTCTCCCTAGATGTATTGGAAAAAGAAGAAGAAAAAGAAGAAGAAGAAGAAGAAGAAGAAGAAGAAGAAGAAGAAGAAGAAGAAGAATTATTACTTACCTGGCCCACAAAGATAGAAACAACTGCATATGTTCCACTGAAACCTTTACTAAAGGCCTTCGGGTCTGGGGGCGCAGAGACTGCACGACATTGTTTATAGTTCCCTACAAAGTTAACACGACCTTGAGTTAGTGAAGGACCAGGCTTGCCGATGGAATCCAAAACTGGGAAAAGAGATAATAAACATATACCTCAAACATGTTATATTGCTCACCTGCCCTAGATAATCACCAGCTCACACGAACCCCTTCCGCCTCCTCCTTGCCTTTTAGTCAGTATAATTATGACACTGCCCAAGGTGATATGATGTCATAGAGTCTAAAACAATCACTTTTCTCATCTACAAATTGATGAACGTATTGGATAGTTTCGGATGTACACATAGACTATTTTCTTTATATATCTTTCTACATGAAAAAAATTATGATATTAATGTGAGTCGTCATCGTAATAGTTACGAAGTATTTATAAGACAACATTGAAGAATACAAGATTTACAAGTGTCTTAAATATCTCAAACCTTATTATTATTGGTAAACTACAAAAGTATCCCCATTGCAAAGTATACCCCCCTCCCCCGAAATAAACCAAACCAAAAACAAAATAACACAAAAAGAACCTACCAAAAACAAATTAAACTGTCTGTCTGTCCGTCTGTACGTTTTTCTTTTTGTCTTTCTGCCTGTCTGTCTGTCAGTCTGTTTCTCCATCTCTATATGTCGCTCTGCCTGTCTGTTTCTCTTTTTTTTTCCTCTAACTCCTTTCGATCAAAATTAATCAGAGATCAGTTCTCGGTTCGTACGTTTACATTTGTATCTGCCTGTTTAATTATATGGTCTGTCTGTGACGTTCTTTCTTTTTCCTCGTACGTCAGGTGCTTTGCCGTTGCACGCAGAAGACATGAGTTCGATTCCCGTGTGGGGACCGTTTTGGTCTCGAGTATAATATTGATATCTTTGTCAGTCTACAGGTACGTTATACTCTTCTCGACTTGGTAGACAGGGTAGAACCCCCCCCCCCCCCACACACACATACACAAAACAAAACAAACAACAAAAACAAACAAAAGAAAACAAATATACAAACCAAAGAAAGCAAACAAACAGAAAGAACCAAAAACAACAACAAAATAAACAACAGCCGATGTAAAGAACTTACAATTGCCTCTATCTATCTCTCTGTCTCTCTGTCTCTCTGTCTCTCTGTCTCTGTCTCTCTCTCTCTCTCTCTCCCTCTATCCCTCTCCCTCTCCCTCTCTCTCTCTCTGTCTCTCTCTCTTTCTCTCTCTCTCTCTCTCTCTCTCTCTCTCTCTCTCCCTCTCTCCCTCTCCCTATCCCTCTCTCTCCCCACTCTTTCCCCTTCTCGCCCTTTCCCAGTATTTCTCCTTATTTCTAATAACTCACTTTGTTCAGGCCATCCCTCTCCTTTGCCGAGACTAAAAAGAATCCTTCGCGTGTCGTTCACACATTGAGAAGGAACTTGCTGACCCAAAGACTCTGCCAAAAATCCACTGTTCGCAATACCTCTCACCGCCTTCGACACATCGTCCCGCAACAAATTCTCAAAATTGGAACTCTTCAGTTTATTCAACTCAGGAATTTGTCTCAGTGTGTTCAAATTTCGTATCACGTGATCAACATCTTCTCGAAACGTCTGGTTTATCTGAAGAGCTTCCATCTTTCTGAGATGTTCTGGGACTTGCTGCCACATGTGGAAATATGTTGTTTTTCCTGGCTCATAAACCTCTGTTGGGATGTTGCCAGTGTTCTCCGCTGCGTGCGTTACAGAGCTCAGACAGACGACTGTAAACCAACAAAAAACATGGCGGACGGTGTTTGTGTTCCAGCCCATGATGAGTAGCTTTGTAATTTCGAGTTGCCAAAGTCTTGAAGAAAGTATGGTTAAAAGTTCTTGGAATTGAGAGAATTTCTGGTCTGTACTGTGATCTGTGGACTGAAAATAATGATTTATGAGTCAGCCGCGGAGATTCGCAAAGATATTCTGCTAGCCGACTGATATCTTGAACTAACTCAAAATCTTAACTGTTGGAAGATTTTGGTTACTGCTGTCGAGAATGTTGCAAGAATCTTCTCTTTGAACCTTCCAAAAATTGCAGTTAATACAAGAGTTTCGTAAAATTGTTGTGTAATTTTGGATAAGTTCTCGTTTGTGCAACTGGAATCTAATCCTTTCCGAGGGATAATAATTATATGTGTCTAGACCAGAACAAAAGGAAATTACTACGAGATAGCACTACACTTGAGATATGTACAGTTGTAGTTTGGATGATTTGGGACAATAGTGGACACTTTTAGTCTTCTATTTCCTAAAGGTAAATGAATATAACTGTGACCATGAAAAAGAAATTAGTACTTGGCAAGGGCCACCCTTTTGAACAACTGTAATCTTGCTCAACTTTCAGAAGCTAGAACTTCTATAACTTGTACATCATGCAAACTGCATGACATTTTACGGGCTTAACTCCCGTTGTAACACTGAGAGGTTGTTTATGTGGTGGACCTCAGAATGGTAAGTTGATCTCCGATAGAACCGAACCAAATGGAACAATTCTTGTAAACTGCCTTTTCCAAGGGTACAGCTTCGGACCAAGCTGAGAATCGAACCCATGAACCAGCAAATCGCACGAGTGGGACTACTGATGCTACCTTTGAACAATGTGAATAAGGAACTTCGAAAAATATTGTTTTCCCATTTGAAAGAAACGGAATATTTAGTTTCCATCAAAACTTGCTGCAGTAAGTAAATAAAGAACAAAATAATGGGCCACAGTACCCAAAGTAAGCCAAATTCTGAAAAATACAAAAATACAATATAGTATAGTTATCAACAACTACCACCATGAAATTTCTGATAGGCTATGCGTTGTCAACCCTTCTCTACGGGTGTGAATATTTCACAATCACATCACTAAATGCAGTGAAAATAATACGGAAGCAGCAGAAATGTGCTGTCCGAGGACACTGATAATATTTTCTTGGGAGGAAAAGAAATCAAATGAGGTAAAAATTAAAAACGCCCACGTGGGCAGCTCGCTGGTAAAACAATGGGAAGAAGACTATAATTGCAGTTTCTGGGACACTTGAATAGACATAAAGGCTTTGGACACCTGCTTTTACTGGCAAAACTGAAGGTAAAAGAGGCAGAAGTGGACAAAGAGCAACTTATTATGTAGATAGCCTAAACAGTTGGGTGAAGGAGAATGACCCGAACAATGCAGTTTTTAGAGCATCTGAGCCAAGGAATGACTGAAGAAACATGACCGCCAATGTTTAGTGCAGATTTGGCACTTGATGATGAAAATACGAGGATCACGCTTACAGGAACAGGGAATCTAAACAGGTACTTTGTAGGCACATTTACCCTTGGCCCTCCACCCTCAAACTATATCAAGTACTTTCTTAAGCTTCGTATCTCTGTCCCCTACCACCTGTTTTTCTTGTTTTCCATTCTTTGAGTCTCTTCCATATTTGTATCACTAAACAATTATTGATGCCATCCGGATATATCAAATAAAATGGGCGTTGCTTACTGGTCGCCCGTGTCAGTCTAAATATCTTCCTTAAAAATGAAGACGGATAAAAATTGTTCTCACCACCACCACCACCACAACCATCATCATCATCATCATCATCATCATCATCATCATCATCATCATCATCATCATCGTCATCATCATCATCATCATCATCATCATCATTATTTTTATCATTATTATTTTTTATCGTAATCATTATTAACATTATTATCACTATTATTACCAAGTTTTAATACTATTTGACAATAAAATTATCGTTATTGTTACCATTGCTGGAATTATCAGTACGGACACTACTCAGAGCTTACCTGTGGTGAAATAATTCTCTAACCTTTCGTGCACGCACGTAGTCATACAGTGAAGTAGGGTTAAGAAGCTCTATCGATTTATATAAGAATTGTGGCCAGCAAACTCTTAACCTTGTCCATGTTACATAGGTAGGTGCATGTGATGCTTAAGTCCTGGTTTATCGGCTCCTCAATACAATGAATCACTTTAACTCATTGATGAGACTTATTTTGGAGCACTTTTAGATAGAAGCACAATAACGTCCTTATTCATACTTAATTTTACCATTCAGTTTACTTCATCTGAAACTTAAACCCCCCCCCCAAAAAAAAACAACAACAAAACAACCCAACCTCAACACGATTCCTATGAGATACATGTATGCAGACATGGCTTCTAAATCGTGTATGATGGTTAAAAAATATACACCGACATTGACTTTTGTCTCCTGATGGTCGGGTGTATTATCATTATACGCCCGATACATTGTTAAAGGGTTAAACTGACGGTCAGAGAGTTCCTCGGGTTTTCCTATCGTCTTACATTTGGCCGAGCCAAGCTAGTGTCTGGCTACATGAATACGGTCAAGGGAAAACCCGACTGAGTCACAGAAATTTCACCACAACTTAGCCTATTGGTTATTTTTTTTACTTTCTCATTATGGGCTTAGCTTGTTCTTAACTAGTAAAAAATCAAAAGCACCTATAAATAAATCATTGATGGTCAAGACCACAGTTTGCGGATGACTTAGATCTAGTTTGTTTTTCACTTGAAAGGTTTCTTGGGGATATTTTGCCATCCTTTGGTAAGTTAAGAGTTAGTACCCATATTTTTTTTTCTAAAATCGACATAATTATTTTATTATCCTGTTTCTTTTTTCCCCTGAGCGCTTCACATGCAATTCTAATACAACCCAAATTAGCAATTGAGCTTGCTCAAGTCAGGGGTCAGGGACGTGGGGGTGTCGGTTTCTTCGATCCCATTATGTTGACGAGCACCTGATTCCTTCGTATCGTGACACAATTAATAACATAATCATGTTCATGGGGTGGAGTCAAGTCTTTAGCCTGAGAGCTGAAGTACGTACCAAGGGCTTCTTAGTAAAGGACAAGTGCTCCTTAGTAAAAGAACTGACTTGTGGATTTGTTTATCATCCTAATTGAGATAGATAGATAGATAGATAGATAGATAGATAGATAGATAGATAGATAGATAGATAGATAGATAGATAGATAGATAGATAGATAGATAGATAGATAGA